AGCAGCAGCAGCAGCAGCAGCAGCAGCAGCGGCAGCGGCAGCGGCAGCGGCGGGGCGGTGGGGGCAGCGGCAGCAGCGGGGGAGCAGCTGACAGTGAGGGACGCAGGGGGGCAGCAGCAGCAGCGGCTGAGGAAGCAGCAGCAGCAGCAGCAGCGGCAGGGAAACGACAGCAGCAGCAGCTGCTGCTGCTGCTGCGCTAAACCCTAAACACTAAACCCTAAACCCTTAAGCTTCGAGGGTCCACGCGGCCCACCTTCTGTCGCAACCCTCTGGAGAGGGAGGCAGAGCGGCGATCTTCTGCTTCTGCCATTTCTGCTGCTGCTGCTGCTGCTGCTGTTCGTCTCGCTGCTGCTGCTGCTGCTGCTGGTACCGCTGCTCCTGCAGCGATTCTTCCCTGCCTGCAGTTGTTGCCGCTGCAGTCTGTCCCTGGTTTCTATATTTGTGGCGAAGCACGGAATGAGGGTTTAGGGTTTAGGGTTGAGGGTTTAGGGTTTAGGGCTTAGGGGAGGCCGACGGCTGGGGCCCCCCGCGGAAGCCCTTGAAGGCAGTAAAGAGCGAGATGAACCTAAAACCACTTTTTAGGGTTTAGGGTTTTGCGCTTTAGCTATTGGTGTTTAGCTTTTGAAGGTTTAGTCAAGGGTTTAGTGTCGCAGTAGTGTGCTGCTGCTCCGTGCATGCAGCAGCAGCAGCAGCCTCGAACGCTGCGCTGCAGCAGCAGGGGCCTCGGATTTGGCAGCAGCAGCACTGTATTTCGTCAATTTTGTGTTAAAAATACTTTTAATTAATTTTAAAATAAAAATAAATATTTAAAACTCAAAAAGCAGCAGCAGCAGACCCTCGGCCCGTCGCTGCTGCTGCTGCAGCTGTCTGTACACCTAAATCCAAACGGTCGAAGACACAGAGGACTATAGGAAGTGCAGCAGTAGCAAAAAGAGCAGCAGCAGCAGCAGCACAGTCTGCAGCAGCAGTAAAGTCTGCAGCAGCACCAAGATTCGCAACAACAGCTGCAGCAGCATGGAGGCAAGCTGCTGCAGCGAACATAGCCCGCGTGTTCGTTACAGCTGAGCAGCAGCAGCAGCAAGCTCCGCAATAGCAGCAGTCTCTATAGGAGCAGCAGAAGCAGCAAGGTTCGTAGTAGCAGCAGCAACAATCCCTGCAGCAGCAGCAGCGAGAAACTAGCAGCAGCAGTTGCCGCACCCTGCGTAGCAATAGCGCTGCTGCTGCTGCCCGTCACAGCAGCAGCAGCACCGACGCGGTGCAGCAGCAGCTCCACAGACAGCTCCTGCGCTTCAGTGTACGTACACACCACCTACTGCTGCAGCTTAGCCTAATTGCTACTGCTGCTGCAGCACAGCAGCAGCAAAGAACCCCTACTTGCGCTACAGCCAGCTGCAGCAGCAAACCAGCACCCCTCAACCCCTGCCGCTGCTGTGCTGCAGCAGTAGCAGCAGCAGCGCAGCAGCGACGCTGCTGCCAGTTTGTTAAAGTTCACCTTAACTAACAAAGCATATTTGGTGGGGCCACAATTCACTCAGCACGCAGCACTGCAGCAGCTGCTGCTGCTGCAGTGCTGCCGCACTTCAGCAGCAGCAGCACTGCACAGCAGCAGAGGCAGCTGCTACTGTGGGGCAGCAGGAGCAGCTGCTGCTGCACAGCAGCAGCAGCAAACAATTCCACTCAGTCTAGATGAAACACAAACAACAAAAGAAGCAACTGCATGCAGCACCGTTGCTGCTGCTGCTGCTCATTTTCTGCCCCTACCACTCTGTAGCAGCAGCAGCTCCAGGGGGTAAAACGCAGCAGCACGAAATCAAACAAACAAAAGCCAGAAATGAAAAGCTGCTTCAGCAGCAGCAGCAAGAGCCTGTGGGGCGCGCTGCATGCGCGGAGGCTGTGTACGTACACCGCAGATCGGATCCCCCTCAGAAAGCCGCCGTAACACGGAAAGCAGCAGGCAGTTTCTGCAGCAGCTGCAGCAGCAGCAATTAGCCAAGCCGATCATCTTGGGGGTTTTAGAACCTTCTTTTGAAGGAACAATCACACTGAAAGCTACAGCGGAGCAGCAGAGGTCTTCTGCGCCCCGCAGCAGCAGCAGCAGCAGCGGGGAGAAGCCAGCAGCAGCAGCCCCGGCGCTGCTGCTGCTGCTGCTGCTGCGGCCGCGCGTGCATGCGGAGCCCCCGCCGCTCGCTAATTAGCTGTTCTTTACTTTTTTGTTTAAATTTAATGTTTATTAATACTATTCAAATTAAATTAATGAGTTGACTAAAGATATACACTCACTTCCAGAGTCCGCCCTCCGCGGTGTCCGCGCGTACACCCCGGGCTTCGATGCACACGCCCTGAGCCCCCTGGCGAGCAGCAAAGGGCCGTAGTTTTATTTAAAAGTGAAAAGACAAATAAATGGAGTTTAATTTATGAATTAAATTTCATTAAACTGCAGCAAAAGCCCTAAAAACTAATTCCTAGACTCCAATCTGCTGAGCAGTGGCTGCTGCCGCCTGCTGCAGCAGCAAGGCGACAGACGCAGCCCCCTGCCCTTAGTTCTTTTCCCTTCCCTTTTCTTTTTTTAGTCCTATTTCTTTGTTTTCCTTTTTTAATTCTATGAACGCACTGAATCCTGCTGCGCCGTAAAGCAGCGAGGCAGCAGCAGCAGCAGCGACGACAGCGACGGCAGCGCAGCAGCAGCAGCAGCAGCAGCAGCCATACAAACGCTCCCGCTTTCCTTCTGAAAGCCCTGCGGACGCGAGTGTCACAAGCAGGGGCTCTGGCGCAGCGCAGGGCCAGCAGCAACAGCAGCAACAGCAGCAGCAGCAGCAGCAGCAGGAGCGGCGAGAGCAGCAGCCGCGGGACGAGGGAGCGCCTTAAGCGGCAGCTCTCACAGCAGCGCAAGCAGCAGCGGCAGCGCAGCAGCTGCCCCTGCGCCGGTAGCAGCAGCAGCTCACCAACAGCAGCAGCAGCAGCAGCAGCAGCAAAATGTCGCGGGAGCGCACATTTGAAGAGGAAAAAGCATATCTTTACAGAGACGCGAAGCAAAAACAGACTCTGCACATTAAAAAGGGTTTTGTCCCTGGCATGAATGTTGCAGGTAAACCCGGAGGCTGCTGCTGAGGGTTTAGGGTTTTCCCAAGGGTTTAGGGTTTAGGGTTTAGGGTTTAGGGTTTAGGGTTTCCGCAGGGGAAGTGTTTGTGAACGACGCGCTCGAGGGTTTGCTGCTGGAGGAGCTGCGAGGGTTTAGCAGCAAAAAGGGTTTTGGGGGTTTTCTTCCTGCTGTTAAACAAGTCGCCAATGTTGCCACTTTGCCGGGCATTCTGGGCAAAAGTGTGGGCCTTCCGGACATCCACGCAGGTCCCAAACCCTAAACCCTAAACCCTAAACCCTGGGCCGCAGGCCCTGGGGCCTGACTGGCCCAAACCCTAAACCCTAGGCCCTCGCCAGTTTGCTGCGCGCGGCGCCGCCAGCCACGCGGCGCCCTTCGCCCCCGGCCCCTAAACCCTAAACCCTAAACCCTAAACCCTAATCGGCCCCAAACCCTAAACCCTAAACCCTCGCCGAGCCGCTCCTCCGGAGGGCCCCCCGGCGCACGCCCTCCCCCCGCACGTCCCTGTGCCCCGCCACCCGCAAACCCTAGCCAGCCGCAAACCCTAAACCCTAAACCCTAAACCCCAAACCCTAAACCCTTGGTGGCGTGCAGGGTACGGGTTCGCGATAGGGAACGTGGCGGCGTTCGACTGCGCAAACCCTTTTTCAGTGGTTTCGCCGGGCGGGGTAGGGTTTGACATAAACTGCGGAGTTCGGCTTTTGAGAACAAATTTAAAAGAAAAAGAAATAAAAGAAAAACAAGAATTAATTGCGCAAACCCTTTTCGACTTCATCCCCGTCGGAGTCGGCTCCCAGGGAATCATTCCCTGCAAAATGCAAGGCGAGACGCTGCACCAGCTAGCTAGCTAGCTAGCCAGCTAGCTAGCTAGCTGGCTGGCTAGCTAGCTAGCCAGCTAGCTAGCTAGCTGGCTGGCTAGCTAGCTAGCCAGCTAGCTAGCTAGCTGGCTGGCTGGCTGGCTGGCTGGCTGGCTAGCCAGCTAGCTAGCTGGCTAGCTAGCTGGCTGGGTAGCTGGCTAGCTGGCTGGCTAGCTAGCTAGCTAGCTAGCTGGCTGGCTAGCTGGCTAGCTAGCTGGCTGGCTAGCTAGCTAGGTAGCTTGCTGGCTAGCTAGCGAGGTAGCTGGCTGGCTAGCTAGCTTGATAGGTGGATAGCTAGCTAGCTAGCTGGCTGGCTGGCTGGCTTGCTGGTTAGATTTAGGGTGTGTTGCAAGGGTGTAGGGTTTGTTGAGGGTTTAGGTTTGTTGCAAGGGTTGAGGGTTTACATCTAGGCTTTAGGGTTTACTTCAAGGGCTTAGGGTTTATTTCAAGGGTTTAGGGTTCAGGGTTGGTTTCGAGGGTCTAGGGTTTGTTTTGAGGGTTTAGGGTTCGGTGCACGGATTTAGGCCTCACTGCCAGTGTTTTGGGTCTATATCAAGGCTTTAAGCTTCAAGCTTTAGGGTTTAGGGTTTAGGGTTTAGGGTTTAGGGTTTGTGCAGATTTGGAGTCGGCGTTGGAGTTGGGGGGCGATTGGCTGCTGCGGCGCGGCTATGCCTGGACTGAAGACAAGGAGCACTGCGAGGAGAACGGCCGCATGCTAACAGCAGGTAACTTTTGGCTCTTTTTCGACCATTTTAAGCCCTTTTAAAACCCTTTTTGGTGGTTTTGAATCTCCTTTTAACTGTCTTTAATTACCCTATATTTATTTTGGCTTTTTAGCGTCTTTTAGCGTTTTTAGAGCTTTTTAGGTCACTCTAGATCCTTAGGAAAAGTGCCTCATGCTAACAGCAGGTAATTTTTGGCTCTTTTTCAGTCATTTCAAGCCCTTTTTAAACCCTTTTTGGTGGTTTTAAACGCCTCTTCAGTTCTCTTTAATTATTTTAGATTTATTTTGGCGTGTTTGGCCTCTTTTAGCGCTTGTTAGGCCCTTTTAAACCACTCTAGATCCTTAGGAAAAGCGCTGCATGCTAACTGCGGGTAACAAAATGCCTCTTTTTCAGTCGTTTTTAGCCCTCTTTAAACCCCCTTTGGTGGTTTTAAATCTCTTTTTAACTGTCTTTAACTATTTTAGATTCTTGTGGCTTTTTTTCAGCTTCTTTTGGCTTTTTTTAGAGCCTTTCAGGTCATTTTAGGTCCTTAAGAAAACAGTCGCATGCTCACTGCAAGTCAAACCCCAAGATTTTGGGGTCTTTTTGGCTCCTTTTAAGTTCTTTTAAATCCCTTTCGGGTCTTTTTTAATTTCTTTTAAATTTTTTGAATTCTTTTTAATTCTTTTGGAGTTTTTTAGACCCTTTTAGATCCTCTCAGATCCTTTTGAATCATTTTGGGGGGGTCTGAAGGGCTTGGGGGTTTTGGAGGGAGGGTTTTGAGGCTTCGGGAATTTTGGGGGTTTTGTGAAGGGTTTTGAAGGGCTTAGGAGGGTTTAGGGGGTTTCTAGATTCTCCCAAACCCTTTAAAGTCTTTTTGAAGTTTTCTGAAAAGTTCATTTTGCTTTCACACCTCCTAAACCCTTTTGAGTCAAACCCTCAGAAACCCTCGCACGCATTTCCAAACCCTTTTAGAAGCTTTCTGATCTTTCTTATCCTAAACCCTAAACCCTTTTAAACCCTCTAAGTATTTCCAGTCCTCCTCAAACCCTTTTAAACCCTCGTAAACCCTTTTGAATCCTTTGAAGTCCTCTCGAACCTTCTTAAACCCTCTTAAGCCCTCTTAAACCCTTCTGAACCCTAAACTTAAAGTGCTGCTAGCAAACCCTTGCATTCAAGTCCAGTCTCACAAACCGCTGCAGCGGAAGGGCGCAGCAACGTCTACGGTTTAGGGTTTAGGGTTTAGGGTTTAGGGTTTAGGGTGCGGTTTTGCTGCAGATCCTTCGAAGGTTTCAATCAGGGCAAAGAAAAGAGGACTGCCGCAAATGGGCACCCTAGGTGCAGGCAACCATTACTGCGAAGTGCAGGTGCTAAACCCTAAACCCTAAACCCTCGGCCTCTCCCGTGGTTGGGTCGGCTGCGCAGCGTGGTCTAGCCCCATCAGCCGACTTGAAGGGCTGCGCGTGGACTCTGCTGCAACACGCGGAATCCAGGGTTTATTGGTTAGGGTTTAGGGTTTAGGGTTTAGGGTTTGGGGCCGCGGCGACGCAGGTTGTTGACGAGGTTTACGACGAATTTGCTGCGAAGAAAATGGGGCTGGAGGTTCGCCAATATTCCCAAACCCTTTGCTGCGGAGCCGCTGCGTGGCCTTTGCGCGGCCAGGGTTTAGGGTTTAGGGTTTAGGGTTTAGGGTTTAGGGTTTGCGTTCAAGGCATAGCTGCAGCCGCGCCTCAGTTTTGCGTCGTGGCGCGTCGCAGCGCACCTGGGCGCCGGCGCGCCGCCGCGGCGGGTCCAGCCCAGTGCAGGGTTTGGGGTTTAGGGTTTAGGGTTTAGGGTTTAGGGTTTAGGGTTTGCGTTTCAGAAGGGGCAGGTGTGCGTGATGGTGCACTCGGGCAGCAGGGGTTTGGGCCACCAAGTGGCCACAGACGCTCTCGTGGTGATGGAGAAGTCCATGGCGAGGGACAACTTAAACCCTATAGACAAGCAGTTGGCCTGTGCGCGCATCGCTTCCCAGGAGGTTTGCAAACCCTAAACCCTAGCTAAACCCTAGCCCGCGCGCCAAACCCTAGCTCGCCCCGGCCGCCCCCGCCGGCGCGCAGCAGCGCCGCGGCAAACCCCGAAGCAGGTGCTGCAGTGGTTGCTGCAGTTCAAGGTTTCTGCGACCTCCAGCGAGGGTTTGCGCGAGGGTTTAGGGTTTGAGGCAGGGTTTAGGGTTTGCCGTAGGGCTTGTTTCCCTACGGTTCAGGGCTCAGGGTTCGCACGAGGGTTTAGGGTCTGCACGAGGGTTTAGGGCTTGCAGGGTTTGCCGGAGGGTTTGTGTGCCCTTCTGGGGTTAGCAGCAACATGCGCAGCGAGTTTGAGAGCTGCCCGAGGGTTTAGGGTTTGCCGAGGGTTTAGGGTTTGTCAAGGGTTTAGGGCCTGCCGAGGGTTTGGGACTAATGGGCTAATCTAGTGTTTAGGATTTGTGGAGGAGGGCGCAGGGCCTGTCGCGGGTTGGGGGTTTGTCGAGGGTTTAGGGTTTGTCGGGGGTTTAGGGTTTGCAGGGTTTAGGGTTTGGCGCTGCAGGGCCAGGACTACTTGGCCGCAATGGCTGCAGCAGCAAACTTCGCGTGGGTTAATAGAGGGGCCATTTCCTTTTTAGTTCGAGAGGCTTTTGCAAAAGTGATGCAGCAGTCTCCCGACGACATGGACATGCATGTGGTTTACGACGTTTCCCACAACATCGCCAAAGTCGAGGTCCAAACCCTAAACCCTAAACCCTAGACCCTAAACCCTAAACCCTAGGCGCTGAGCGCTAGCTGGGCGCTGCCGCGCCCGCGCACCTGCCCCCGCTGCTGCCGTGCGTTCCCGGCGGTCGCCGCGCCCGCGCGTCCCGACCCCCAGCCCCTAAACCCTAAACCCTAAATTAGGGTTTGCGCGCAGGAACACATGTGGGGCGGCAGCGTGCGCACTGTGCTGGTTCACCGCAAAGGAGCCACAAGGGCCCTCCCCCCCCACCACCCTTTAGTGCCTTCAAGTTACCAATTAATAGGCCAGCCAGTCCTTGTGGGGGGTACAATGGGTTCTGCCAGTTACGTGCTGCTGGGTACCCCGGGGGCCCCCGGGGGGGCCCCG